TGGTGCGTGAATGGAAAATGAGCTCCCACAGAAGTGGTCGAAGCTAGTAATATTACAACATTTAAAGGCAGCTGGATGGGTATATTGGTAGCATGGTAGTTCAGTGGTTAGCACTGCTGCCTCACAACCCCGGGACCTGGGTTCAATTCTACCCTTGGGCAGCTGTCTGTGTGGAGTTTGCACCTTCTTCCCATGTCTGTGTGGATTTCTGCCAGGTGCTTTAGTTTCCTCCCACAGTTGCAAGTTAGGTGGATTGGCCATGCTAAATTGTCTATAGTGTTTAGAGATGTGTAGGTTAGGTGCATTAGCCGTGGGAAATGGAGGGCAGCAGGGAAAGGGTGGGTGATGGGTCTGGGTGGGATGCTCTTCAGAGGGTCGGTGTGGACTTGTTGGGCTGAATGGCCTGTTTCCACGCTGTATGGATTCTATAAATAGGAAGGATATGGGCTAAATGCTGGCAAATGGGACTAGGTTAATTTAGGAGATCTGGTTGAAATAGACGAGTTGGACTAAAGTGCCTGTTTCCATGCTGTATGACTCTATGACCATCTGTGGTAGTGCAGCACTTCCTCAATATGGCATTGTGAGTGTTGGACAAGAATTTGTGCTCCTACCTCTGGAGGTGGGGCTCAAACCCAGAACCTAATGACTCCCGGGCATTGAGCTGCACTGACCAAAAGTAGCAAAGACAATTGCCTCAGACATGTTAAGGTAGAACTACCATGTGTTCGGAGGTCATTGCCAGGAGAAAGATATAGCAACTGATCTACATGATCACTGCATATTCTTTCTTTGTGTGAGACTGGTATCTGGGCAATTGGGGATAGACAGTAAAGGCTAGCCTAACCAGTGATGCCCTCATCCCGTGAATAAACATAAAAAGAACCTTCCTGGTTACTCACTTTGAGCAAACCCATCAAACCCCAATTTTCACGCCTCGCTGCGACTGCTCCTCACTGGAAGTGATTAATTGTGTATCTAGCCTCCAAGCAAATTGTTTTTCCCAACCGTTTCAAGGTGTAGTTTTTTTTATTATTCAAAGAGAATATTTTTCATAAAGTTTGGCTTTCCATTCACCGGCCCCATTCTCACTGCTCTAAATGTTATTCTGTTAATTATTCATGCATCTGCTAGAGCACAGCCAGTGTAAATATCAGGCGCTAAGCTCCTTAATCGCTAATAAACTACCCTGTTTTCGTAAATAGAAACTCATTTTGAAATAAATTAGGTTTTATAGTACAACACACTTAATCTGTAGATTTTTAAATAAAATACACATTTGATATATATAAGTGCATACACAAATTATGAAAAATCATTTTTCAATTGTTATGACAACTTTTTACCTGTAAACATGTTAACACACAGTGTACAAAACACAAGCTGCATTGGCTAGAATATTTATGTTATTTGCACAGTTTGTTATTTCCAGTTTCTAATGCTCCTCCTAATGACATTCATTCATTTTGGGGATTAAACTACAATGGATATGACTGCACATTGGTTCTTGAATTCACTGGAATCATACAACGCAGTAAAGCCCATTTGGCCCATTATTCCTGCGCTAGCTTTAATTTATAATTATCCAATACTCCCTGGCTGTTTCCCCCCAGGGCTTCTAAGTCTTTCCTTGCTGGGTATATATATTCAATTGCCTTTTGAAAGTTATTGTTCCATTTTCTTACACCACCCTTTTAGGAAGCACAATTGCTGATCAGAGCAACCAGCTGCATTAATGAATGCTCTCCTCTTCTCTCTGCTGGGTCTTTTGGTAATTGTGTTAAGTAGATGTTCTCTAGCTACCAACCTTTCTGCCAGTTGAAGAAATTTCTTCATGTTTCTCAGTAAAAAGCCTTCACAATTTTGAATGCCTCTATAAATTTCCACTTAATCTTCTCTGCCATAAAAGAAAAAGAAATCCCAAATGGATGTTCAATAACCTCAGTTTTTCGGGGGCCAGGTTGACAGTTCCTGCTTCCACCATCCTTTGTGTAAAGAAGTGACTCCTGACATCAGCCCTGAAAGGTCCAGCTCTAGTGTTTATGTTATTTCATCTTAGGACTCCATTATGTTCACCTAGTGTTCATTCCACGCAAAGTTCTCACATCAAGATGACAAGAACACAAGAAATAGGAGCAGAAGTTGACCATATGGTCTGTCAAGCCTGCTCCATGATCATGGCTGATCTTGGGCTTCAACTTTATCTTCACTTCCACTCCCTGTTTCCATTAATTCCCAGAAAGACCAAAAAAAAAATTGTCTATCCCAGCTTTAAATGTGTTTAACAATGGAATATCCACAGACTCCTAGAGCAGAGAATTCCAAAGATTCACAACTTTTTATGCCTCATCTCAGTCCTAAATGATGAACAACGATTCCTTAGTCTGTGCCACCAAACAATAATGGAATGTCTACACTTTCAAGCCCTTTTGGAATCTTGTTTGTTTCAATGAGATTGCCTCTTATCCTTCATAAGCCTTCCCTCAGTCATTGCCCCAGCCCCACGGCCTCAATGCTGGGTGCCTTCATCCTTACCCTGACATACAACAGATGTTCTTCCAGAGCAACAACAGGATCTTTAGGGACTTTAGGCATTAGCGAAGGCATTGAAATCAGCAGGTTCAAAGCCTCCAAGCTCCATTGATAATAGTCCCACTGTCCCTGATGCCATCTCTTTGTGTGATCTCTTGCTTGTGATCAAAAGGTCATGGTTACATAGATGCATATAGATGCATAAATAATGCAAATGATGGTATATTACTCTCAGGAGAAATGGCACTATGTAACAATCACGTTAATGTTATTTATTAAGGGTGTCTCTCTAAAGGCCTGGACATTTCATGAAAATGTTTTGATCTAAATGGCAAGATACTCCTTATGAATTCTTCAACAATGTTTGTGGAATATTTCAATCTTAACACATAACAGATCCCCTCTTCATCTTTAATGGATAAAATCCTATTTGCATCAAGATTAACATTTTGCCCCTGGTCCTGCTGATAGGAGACCTGCCTCTTGGAAATATTACATTTCAGTGTGTGTTACATGTAACTTTCAGGCTGTTTTAATTAATTGGGGGAAATTATGCCTAGTATCTGCTTGAAACACACACATGAGTTCTGGCAGATGAGACTCTCAACAGGGAGTGAAAGTCAGAGAATTATCCCAAATGCCTTTGTGTGAGGTATCAATGACCTCATTTCAGTGACTAATGTCACTGCTAAAGTCATTGTGTCACAGGGACCCATCTTCCACCCACTCCCTGCACCCTACCAGCCTCACAATATCTGTGTGACAAGTTCAATAGGAATGGACATGGAGCTTGTTAGAGATGTTAGAACAGACCAATTGTCTGCTGACTAACTGTTGTAGTGTGCCAGGCCACAGAATAACAGCACATGGACTTCCATCAACAATCACCCATGCAACAAGTTTCTCAACTTGAGAAGCAGAGTGAATGTTTCACATTTGATAGTTCAGAAAAAGATTCATAATGGACTCAAAATATGAACTCTGTTTCTCTCTCCACAGATGCTGCCAGAGCTGCTGACTTTCCCCAGCATTCTCTGTGTTTGTTTCATACTTCCAGCATCAACAGTATTTTTGCCTTTATCTGAAACTTGGCAGAGGAAGGGCAGGGAGGGTTGGGTTTGGAGGAGGGGTGTGTGGACTTTGGAGAGGGGCCTGGTGGTGCCTGTGATGTGGAAGGTACTGGGTGGAGGTTAGGAATATGCCACACAAGAAGAGAGAGCGAACATCTGCATGTGAGACAGCCCTGCCAAAAAGTGGCAGCTTTGACTTGAGAGTGGGGAATCTCAGAAAGGAGAGTATCTGAAGTCAGAGGCAGAGGAAGGGTAGGTGCGGCACATTGATTATGAGAGAGAAAATTAGGAATCAATTTGCTTGGCACTCCACCAGCCTGCTTCTGTCCTCCAAAACAGTCTGTGTTTGGTGTAGCAGCCACTGATGTGCTACATTAGATACTTGGCTGCTCTGCATTACTTACACAATGTATTTAAACTCAGGCCTAAAGCATGGTGTCTGATTTAAATGAGAGGCTTGTGTGTACCAGGGACACCTAGCTCCATCATCCAGCTGATTTTGCCACACTCCTCCTCCTCTCACTTAGTTAATTAATGCCAGGTTAATGAATTTGCGTGGCTCTGATTTGTTATTTTACAGAGGGAATTTATTGGTGAAGTAATAAATGTCACAACAAATGCACAACAAAGTGATGTAGATGGGGTCTGCCAAGAGCAGTATCTATCACATTATTGATTTTCTGGCACTAGTGTCATGAATCCTTTTGTCATAAACTCAAGTACACCTCACTGGAACCACGATCAATCGATGGGAGAGCTGGTGTCACAGCCCTTTACAGAGTGCATTCCTTTTGTCAGAACCATTAACTGTGCACTGCACTGCAGAGCAGCTCAAACTGTCTGAAGTGAAGACTGCTATATTTCTTACCTTGTCCACTTTGCCTCCCCCTTCCCCTCCCTTCTCCCAGCTCCCTGTCCTTTTCCCGTCCCACTTTATTCCCCTAGTCCTGTCCGTCTCTCTATCCGCGAAGACGAGACAGACGGGGCTGCAGGCTTTTTGACGGCTGCTGCTCCCAGCGTTTTGTGGTGATCAGCCTGCAGAAGGGAGCACTTCAAATCGGGCAAGCTTCATCATGCCAGTTTGTACATTTTTATCCTCCCAACACCACCCCCGCCGCCGCAACAAAACACCAAGCTTCCCCTCGTCCCCTCCCTCCATTAGACACGATGCCTTGTTATCGACTGGCACCATATCAAGTGACCCTGCTGAGAACTGACAAAAACTCACCCATCTGTGGCAACCATGTTTGAGTGACAGGTAGCCCTGGGACTCAATCTCGGGACCATCTGGTTGGGAATTGAATATTCAACCTCTTGAGCTACTGCACTGCCTTCTCTTTTTATTTTTAATTTACATTTTCCACCCATTCGTTCTTTGCGTTTCTTGCCACTACGCAGGTCTCTGTCCACCTTCGAAAAGGTGAGCTGGTGCCCCGTCTGGAGAAGAGGGCAACATCATCAAACACAAGGTGGGTACATTCAAATTCAGGTTAGGCAGTATGTTTTTCCGATTTGTGAAGTGATGCTGAGGAAGTGGACACATCATTTGTGGCTTCAGAAGTTTTACATGCTAATACCTGGTTGGAGGGATCTGAAGAAAGCGCTCTCAAAGTCACTGACTTGATTCGTCCTGAGTCTGAATTGATTGTAAGCAAGCAAAGCGTGCTCAACATATTCTAAACTGACGACAATTGTGATTCGATTCGAGGACATATTTTTGAAAGTTTGTTGAAGTGTAATGTCCTATTGAGTTTCTTGTACTCCATCCCTGAATTCCTGCGATGTGCTGCTAACCCACAAATATCCAGTAAAGGACTTTGAGGTGTAAAGTCTCAATTTTTATAGAAAATTGAACATGATCAGCATTGTATTTTTCCCTGAGTCCAGGCCAACAAAACCTAGACTGTTCCTTCAGTGCAGGGTTAAAATCTGAATGCCCCTTCTGCTTGGAATTCAGAGGCAAGTGCGCCTTGTCCTGTTCACCATCAGCAAGGCACAAGTCGGGTGTTATGATCTCAGACAGGGATCTTATTGGACCTGGCTTGATAGATCATATTTTAGTTTGATTTTGTTTGAACAAGCTAGTCATTCGCTGAAACATAACACGCACAGCTACAGATTTTGTTTTAGCAATACATGCGAGTTTATTAATGAAAGAAGCAAAGATGAAAAATAAGCCAAACTATCCACTTATTCAAAGATTGTTAAACACAGAGTAAAAGTATAATCCCATTAATCCCGAAACACTCCCTTATAAATTGAAAAGAGCAAACAACTTTTGAGTATTATCCAAACAACACTGCTGGTGCCCTATCCAATACACACTTTATTTAGTATCCCAAAACATCTTTCATATAATATTTGCAAAAGAGGCCCTGTCTGTTATACCTCAAAAGGAATAAGTTACTTTTGACTTTAATTTATAGACTCAAACTGCAGATAATCTTTTCCTGGAGTTATAAGACACTCAAGCTCAAATATGCCCAGCTTTAAGTAACTCCTTCAGGGTTTTAGCCCAACACTTCTAGTCTAGGACTAACACTCACTCATTACTCCAAGGTAATTTAGTTTCACTATATACTTCACCCCCAAGGATCACTGTTCCATGCAGACATTTGAGTCATAGAGTCATATAGCATGGAAACAGACCTATCGGTTCAACTCATCCATGCCAATCGGACATCCCAATCTGACCTAATCCCATTTGCTAGCATTTGGTCCATTTCTCTCTAAGCACTTCCTATTCAAATACTTATCTGGCTGCTTTTTAAATGTTGTAATTGTACTCAACTCCACCACTTCCCCTAGCAGCTTGTTCCATACACGCACCACCCTTTGCGTGAAAAAATTACTCCTCAGGTCCCTTTTAAATCTTTCCCCTCACACCTTAAACCCATGCCCTCTAGTTTTAAACACCCCACCCTAGGAAAAAGGCCTTGGTGATTCACTCTATCTATGCCCTTCATGATTTTATCAACCTCTATAAGGTCACTCCTCAGCCTCCAACATTCCAGGGAAAAAAAGCCCCAGCCTATTCAGCCTCTCTCTAGAACTCAAATCCTCCAGTCCTGGCAACATCCTTGTAATTCTTTTCTGCACCTTATTAAGTTTAACAACTCCCTTGCTTTAGAAGGGAGACCAGAAATATATGCAGTCTTCCAAAAGTGGCCTCACCAATTTTCTTTACAGACGTAACATGACATCCCAACTCCTATACTCAATGTTCTGACCGATGAAGGCACACATGTCAAATGCCTTCTTCACCACCTTTTCTATCTGTGACTCTAATTTCAAGGAACTTTGCATCTGTACCCATTGGTCTCTTCGTTCGGCAACATCCCCCAGGGGGCCCTACCATTAACAGTAAACATCCTGCCCTGATTTGCCTTATCAAAATGCAACACTTCACATTTATCAAAATTAAACTTCATCTGCCACTCCTCGGCTCATTGGCCCATCTGATCAAGGTCACATTGTGCTCTGCGATAACCTTCTTCACTGTCCACTAAACAACTTACTTTGGTGTCATCTGCAAATTTTCTAAGCACACCTCCTATATTCACATCCAAAACATTTATATAAATGATGAAAGGCGTGAACCCAGCACTGATTCTTGCAGCACAATGCTTGTCACAGGCCTCCAGTCTGAAAAAACCCTCTACTACTACCCTCTGCTTCCTACCTTCAAGCCAATTTTGTATCCAATTGGCTAGCTCCCCCTGGATCCCATTTGATCCAACTTTACTAACCAGTCTACTATGTGAAACCTTGTCGATCACTTTGTTGTAGTCGATATAAACTACATCTACTGCTTCGCCTACATCAACCTTCTTTGTCACCTCTTCAAAACACTTCCATGGACTTCACAGGACTTCCCAAAACTCAAAGATCACTGAAAGTTGCCACCCAGGTTGATAGCGTTGTTAAGAAGGCGTACAGTATGTTAGGTTTTATTGGTAGAGGGATTGAGTTTTGGAGCCATGAGGTCATGTTGCAGCTGTACAAAACTCTGGTGCGGCCGCACTTGGAGTATTGCGTACAGTTCTGGTCACCGCATTATAGGAAGGATGTGGAAGCATTGGAAAGGGTGCACAGGAGATTTACCAGGATGTTGCCTGGTATGGAGGGAAGGTCTTATGAGGAAAGGCTGAGGGTTTTGAGGCGGTTTTCATTAGAGAAGAAGGTTAAGAGGTGACTTGATAGAGACATACAAGATGATCAGAGGATTAGATAGGGTGGACAGTGGGAGCCTTTTTCCTCGGATGGTGATGGCTATCGTGAGGGGACATAGCTTTAAATTGAGGGGTGATAGATATAGGACAGATGTCAGAGGTAGGTTCTTTACTCAGAGAGTAGTAAGGGCTTGGAATGCCCTGCCTGCAAAAATAGTAGACTCGCCCACTTTAAGGGCATTTAAATGGTCATTGGATAAACATATGGATGATAATGGAATAGTTTAGGTTAGATGGGCTTCAGATTGGTTTCACAGGTTGGCGCAACATCGAGGGCCGAAGGGCCTGTACTGCGCTGTAATGTTCTATGTTCTATGTTCTATTTTTAAAAACCCATTGTCGTGAGCTGTGGGTGTTTCCCTTAAGCTTAAAAAAAAGTTCAAAAATCTAACAAGCCTTGTGGTCCTATTATCAATCCTGATGGCTCACAAAACGATCTAAGACAGTTGTGCACAAAAACACATCAATTCCAAATTTGGCCCTCAAAAACTACATTAAAAGAAATCACCATGGCTACAGAAATGCTTGCAGGTTACAGAAACATTTCTTCAGCCAAAGGATGGTGAATTTGTGGAATTCATGGCTGCAGAAGGCTGTGGAGGTCAAGACATTGAGTGTCTTTCATAGGCTTTGATCAGTAAGGGGATCAAGGGTTACAGGAAGAAGGCAGGAAAAAGGGGTTGAGAAACATATCAGCTATGTTCAAATGATGGAGCACATTCTCTGACATCAGCATCCTCTGATGCTGCCTGGCCTGCTGTGTTCCTCCAGCTCCACACTGTGTTATCGCTGACTCCAGCATCTGCAGTTCTTACTACCTCTGAGTGAGTTATAACCACACATAAAACCTAGATGTTATTAACTCAAAAACAAAAAATACTCAAACTTGCAATAAATGAAATTTAAAGTAGGTATAAAAAATACGGTTTACATTACACAGTAATGTAATGGAATACTGTCCAATTTCCTGAATATGTCTGGGATTGACAATACTCAACATCATCTATGACAAAGTAATCTGTTTGATCAATGACTTAGCCACTAACTTAACCATTCACTTCCACTACTGCACAGTAGTGTACAAGATGCACTGTGGCAACTCATCAATGCTCCACTAAACCTGTAATCTTGCCCACCTAGGAGGGCAAGGGCAGCAGGCACATGGCAATACCTTCACCTTCAAGTTTTCCTTAAAGCGACAAACCATTCTGACTTGGAATTATGTCATCATACCTTCACTATCACTGGATTAAAATCCTGGAATTCCAATCCTAGCAGCACTGTGGCTTTTCCTGGACTCCAACAACTGCAGCTATTGAAGAATGTAACTCACTACCACTTACTCAAAGGCTATTGGGGATGGGTAACAAATGCTGACCTTGCCAGTGACAACAACACACAATGAAAGAATAAAACAAAATACCGGTGCTGTGGGAGCTTCCTCCTATTGTTCAAGACTTCACTTCACTGCCATTTTCTCAAAATCACACAGGGGTGGTAACAAATACCAACCTTGCTGTTGATGCCCACAGGAAGAGAGTGTATATTAAGATAAATGGTTATATAACTTTAGAACTTGCCACATTTAAACCCATCAACATGGCTGGAACATGGATTAGTGTCAGGGTTTGTGCTAGAAAAGCTAGGAGACTTGATGCTATCTTATCCCATTCAAGGTTCCAGATTTGGAGATCACAAAACAATCATCTAGAACTGGACATGTTGAATTGTCTGGATCCCATGCCTAATAAAAACAAAATAAGTATGTCAAGCGGCATTTGGGGAGTAAATAGACATGTTGGCATAAGGAGCAAGACTCTTTGGTCCTTTCCTAAGCCCAGTTCTTTACTGGTTCATGGCCAGGAGACGGGTGAAGGATGTTTCATTTGGTCAATATGAGTTGTAACATCTTGGGAAAGAACCCAGTCTGAGGAAATCCTCCATAAAATAATTTCAAAACAATTTAAAGCTTGAGCTGATGAATTCTATGAACAATGCCAGTTTGTTCCCTGACATTCACGTAGCCCACAAACCAAGGCCTAGAAATAAATTAGCAACATGTCTAATCTTAAATGGAGCTCGTGAGCCTCCATCTTGTTATGAAGAAATCCTTTCATTCAGAACTGAAATGCCATTGACCTGAAACTTTAACTCTGGTTTTCTCTTTTACAAGTTCCGCTTTATCTCCTCTGTGTTCCCAGCATTTTTGGTTTTGTTTATGGCAATCTCATTGCTTT